TTCCTAATGTTTATGTGCTTAAACTAAAATATAAAATAAACCTTATACAAGCAGGCAGGGGATCGGCGTCGGCTCTGCAGGGTAAGAAGAATTCATCGTGTACACTTCCCTGGGGCTCCAGGGCAGGGAGAGCTCAAAATGTGAGTGATAATGTGTTCAGCTGTCGTCCACAACCCTTGTGCTCTGCAGCCTGTCCTACTCGCTGTCACTCTTGTCCACCAGTACCGCGTCAGTCTCCTCCGTGATCTCCAGCAGTGTGTGCATGTCGGGGCTCTCCCCACGCATCAGATCTGAATTTTCTCCTTCCTCTCCACCAACCTCTACCAGCTCTGTGGCTTTCACCTCCACCTCACCCTCTCTTATTTTCTTGACATGGAAAGTGAAGGGTGGCACTTTGTAGACAGCTGTCTTGGACCTGGCATAGATGGTGTGGTCGGGGGTGAAAGACTTCCTCAGTTTGTCTCGAGAGCTCTTCATCTTCTCTCTCCTTTCATTTGTCACAATTTTAGTGCCCAGTTTGTTCATCCTCTTCTCCAGGTTGTGGCGGGTCTTCTCCAAGTTGTGGCGGGTCTTCTCCAGGTTTTCCTTGGTCTTTAGCTTAGTCTTTTCCATCTTCTCCTTTGAGAACGCCTTCTTAAAGTCATCCACCCTTTTCATGCCGCTTCTTTTGATGCGCTCTGCCCGTGACTCTTCAATAATCTCCTCAATCTCCACCTCCTCATCCGAGGAGAGCTGGATGTGGTCCTCCTCTGCATGGTCCTCACCCACAGGGACCTCCTCACCCTCACCTTCCTTCTCCAGCTTTTCACCTTCCTTTAGGGACTTGCTGATGCTCAGTTTAGATGGGAGCTTCACTTCATCCTGCAAGACACACAGCGGAGCCAGTGAGACACACAGACACCGGCAACCCTGGAGCCGGCCCGTCCTCCCTCCCATGGTGCCACAGAGCCATCAGCCTCCGCCCAGCTAAACACACCTCAGGCCTGAGCTCATCCTCCCTTACTGCAGCTGACAAGTTATTGTGAAGAAGATCTGCTTAGGACTCTCCTGCACCAGGACTTGGGCACCAGTTCTCACCCTAGGCTGGCTCCAAACTCATCTGTGACACCAGAAGTATGGGAAAGGCAGCCCAGCACTGAAACTGGAGCCTTTTCCCTTCATCCTCTGCCTGTGTCACAGTTCTGTGCCCTCCAGTTTCATCTTTATCCCAGGACCTGACCATCACAGCCATCACTCCTGACCACAGAACAGTGCTCTTCAGGTCTCCAGCCCGGCCAGGTCCAGCTGCAGCCCCGGTGCAGTGCAGGGCTGCAGCGGCTCAGCCAAAGCTGAAAGTCTGGCCACAGCACCAGCATGTACAAGCTGTCCTGGCTGCCCCCAGGCTGCACTCAGACTTTCCCAAGGCCTCAGGATCCAGATGTGGGGCTGGGACATCTCTTGGGATGCAGCAGGCTGCCCTGTTTTTCCTATTTCTCCACTGGGGAGTAAGTTAGAGAATTTGCCTGAGTCCATATCTGGAGATGGTGGAGACAGCGGTCCCAACTCACCCAGCCTGGTCTGCAAGGATACACAGCTCTACTTGGGACAGGGCAGGATTCATTCAGCTTCTCCACAAGGCTGAGCCAGCCAAGTTTCTGATCCCAGTGGCAGAGGACGAGCATATGCCTGGGAGAGGGGCACAAGTCTGGAGCAGGATTGGTTTTCATCTGAGCAGCACATAGCATGCGTCCCTGCTGCAGTGATTCACCTCTCTGTTCCCAGGAGAGGCTGGAAATAGCCTGTCACTGTACAGAGCGTCACAGCTGCAGGGCTGCAGCTCACGCTCGGAAATTTATTGCCCAAGCAGTTTTAATCTACAGAGCTGGGTGGGAGAGATGGGAGCTGCCAGGACCAGTGCTGTCAGAAATCCAGCAGCAGCCAAAGGGCAATATGTGGAATGGGCACACGGCACTCGGAGCTGCTGGGCTGAGGTTTGAAGAGCCTGGGCAGCAGGATGGCCAGGTGCCATTCTGAGCCCTGGTGCAGACAGCAGCAGAACAGAGCAAGGACAGGATTCCAGTCCTGCACTGGCAGGAACCGGACCCAGGGAAATCAAGGGGCAGTCCCTGTGTACCCCAAGTGCTTGAAGGGCAAACCCTGGAACACCAGCAGTGATTTGCGTGCCCCCGGCTCGGGGAGGTGCCCTGGGATCCAGGAGAGTGACTTTGTTGTGGCACCTCCCATGCATTGCGTGTCACAGCAGCTGCCACTGCTCCGCTGCAGGCGTGCACGAACGAGCTGCACAGGTGCCAAGAGCCAGGACACTGTGAATGGTCATTCCATCAGGCATGAGGAGGGGTGTTCCTGGTGCTGCCGTGGGACAGAACATCCCGGTCCCTGCTCAGTGCCGGAAGGGACGGCATGCGTGCACACCCTGAGAGCTGTCCGACCGCACGCCACTGCCCTGGCTGACCAAGGTCACTGCCACTCTGGCTCTGGCCTGAGCTCCTAGACAGAGGCAGGAGGAGATGCCCTCCCTGCAGACATGGGTGCTGTGCCCAGCCCTCTGAGCCCTGCACCCCTGGAGAAGTGACACAACTCATTGAATACGTGACTCCAGCACAGCTTCACCTGGGCAAAATCCAGATGCTCTCAGCTACTTTCTCATTTTTTTCCCAAGTACAGGTTCCTTGGGCCAGGTGAGGTTCTGGAAGCACAAGGGCATCTGGAGAAACCTTTGTGAGCAGTGAAAAGCCAGCTCCATGGAGCACTGAGGTCAGTGAGGATGGCACAGTCTGCAGTGTCTGTGTGAAAACACAGAGCCTACTGGAGTAGAGCTTTTGCTGTGGGTTTTCTTCAGAGCAAAGAACTGTGCTGGGTGCAGCTCTTCACCCTCCAGATCACAGGTCAGGTCTCATCTACTTTGTGGAGATTAAGGTGAAGTGGCCAACATGTGTTTTCTTCATTTGATGAGCCACTTCAGCAGAAAACAATACATGCGTTCTCCAGAGGGCCAGGTCAGTCCAGGGCAAACCCACATCACAGGGAAGGCAGGGATCCTGTTCTCCACAACAACACCTGCTAGAGCAATCCCAGAAACTTCCAGGGACCTGCCCAGCCAGCAGAACATCAGGAACTCCAGCCACTTCCTTCCCTCTGAGGCAACACAATGAGCCAGAACAAAGGCATCCCCCTCCCGCCTGGCAGGGCTGTCCCTGGAAATGGGCCGTATCCTGCAAACCCTGATCCTATCAGCCCCTTGTGAGCTCCAGAATATGTGTTTTGAGAAAGAAACACCACCTCAAAAACGCGGTGTCTGTCACATAAATAACAACCTTTCCTCCTGCTACACCAGTATATCCAACTCCTGACTGAATTTTCTGATGTCATGGGATGGCCTCAGCAGCATCCTGCAGCTCTTCCCTCACAGCCATGAAGACATTGCCAGCAGCAGCTTTGGATACATGGGACAGCGGGAACAACCCCTCTTGGGTGCCTGCAGATCTCCTTAATCCTGCACTTCACCCGCAGAGCAGCAGCTGCCCAGCTCTGTGATCCCAGGGCTGCACTCAGGCACTTCTTGACTTCTGCCAGCCCCACTCCACCCCCACAGCCCAACCCCAGCCCTGCAGCACTCACAGCTCTGCTCTTGCCTCTGTCAGGAGGCACCTCCTGGATCGACCCAGAGGCACAGAGGGAGCACAGCCTTTCCCATACGTGAGGATCCCAGCTGCCCCCCTTGGGACCGTTTCTGAGAGTTTTTCTCCAGCTGTGTTTGGGAAACCCTTCACGTCCTGCTCCCGGCCTCTCTCTCTCCTAAGCATGGTAGAATTCCTGTATTTCCCACCTCTTCCTCACTGATTGCTGATCTGACCTGTAGATAACCAGCTGGGGGACCACTGGAGGATTTTCAGCAGTGTGCTAAGGGACAGTCCCAGAGTCCAAGCTCACCTGCATTCAGGGAGCGTTCCTGCAGGTTCAGGCACACCTGGTGCAAGAACATCCACAGCTCTGGCACATCTTAATGGGGACAGGCACATTCTGCTGAGCATCCCTTGCCTGTTCCTCCCCCCTGCACTCAGGCACTGCCCCAAAGCCACCAAGAGTCTCCTCCTCCCTGCCTGGGAGGTTTCTCCAGTGGGGAAGGGGAACTGCCTAGTGTGGGCAGGACATGCCTGCAGACACAGGCATGGAAGATAATGGGACGTGACTGGAACAATCAAGAACCATCCCAGGCCCACAGGTGGCTGCTGTACAGATCCCTGCTCTGAGCAAAGCACTATGCTCTCTGCACTTCATTTCACTCATGACTCATCCAGTTGAGCCACATTTTTAACACCAGGCATTCTATTTTTACTTGGAAAACACTGATCCTGAAGTGGGCGAGTCCAAAATCCTGGGTCTTGGCATCCCTGCCTGTTGGGGTGTTCAAAACCTGGCTCCCAATCAGCAGAGGCAAACCAGTTCTGTCCTCTCTGCTTGGATCCAGCTGGCACAAGGACAGCGGGTAAACAACATTTTTCAGAAGACTTTGGTACCAGCAGCAGCAAACTCTGTGCTCTGTGTACGGTGCAGAGCTGCAGCCAGCAGCAGGACAGGGACAGGGAGCCTGCGTTATCCCTGCAGCACAGACCTCCTGGGATGAGCTGTGCTTCGGGAAGCTCCCTGGCACTGGGCCGGCCCATCTGTGGACTTTGTGGGCACCCAGAGGGGCCCCAGTGCCCACAGCCAACCCCAAAGGCAGCTGGCTGCCAGCTGCCCTGTGTCCTCCTACTTCAAACAATTCCGAGCTGTTGGATCCACAGCAGTCTCTTCCCAGCTCTCCTGAGTGGGCTTTTATCTGACATTGTTTTCGAGTTCCCTGGCAGTGAGTCACCCGCAGCCCACGGCCATGGACACCAGCCTGGTTGCTACAACACACATAAACACTTCCCCTGGTGTATAAAAGGCCAAGGAGACACAGAGCTGAGCTGCATTCTCAGTCAGTGTGTAAGAAACAGAGCCCCAGCACTCCCAGGCACTCCGGTCTCCAGTTGGAAGGTTTAATGGAAGGTTCTCACATGCACATGCAAATCACATCTGCAATTCATTTCACTCCATTATTTTTACACAACTGCAACAGCACAAACAGTGAGTTTGGTTGACATTTGCAGCCATAACGTGCAGAAAACGACCAACTCACATTCCTGGGCTCCACTATGACCAAATCGGGCTGATCCCAAGGCTGGGTGAGCTGGAGCCTGTAGCCCCTCCTGCATCCCAGCCTCGGGGAGGCCGGGGGAGGATTAGGAGGAGCTTGGGCAGCAAACAGCCCTCCAGGTCAGGTCAAACCGTGCCAGAGGAGAACAAGTTCTGCTCTCCCGTTGCCATGATAACTGCTCTACTCTGCCAGGCCTCAGAGGACACTGTTTTGTGCTGACCTTCCAGCAGTGTCATGGGAAGGAGGATTCAGCTATTCCTGAGTAACAGCAGCATGCCTGAGAAGCACCCTGAGCCTAGCATACCAGATACCCTGCACAGAGGTGGCTTTGCTTTCTTCTCCAGTGCCTTGGTGGAAGAGACCTTTTCTGTGGAGACTGAAATTGCTAGATTAAAAAAAAAACAAAAGACAGAGAGAGAAGTTTTTCCTTACATCTGACACTCTCCTTGAAAAGGAGAAGTTTTCCCTGGCATCTTTGCCCAGGGACCACAATTCCTGGACTTGGTTCACCCTCACCTGGCTCTTGGAATAGTCCTGTCCATGCAGGTGGCCATTCCCACTGGACAGTGCTGCACACGCTGCTGGGTGACTCCCAAAGGGCAGCTGCAGCTCGGGTTGTGTCCAGTAGCTGCCAAATGACAGGAAGGCAACAGGCCACTGTGGCCTCTGTGGTCTAAATGTTACATGAACAGCAGTTAAAGTCACCACTCCAGTGTGTGCAGGGCCTGACTGTCAGCAAGCAGAGTGTCTGTGGCCAGATGAAAATGGGAGATGCTGCAGGGGCTGCCCGAGGCATTGGAAGTTTATGTCACAGTTTGTGCTCTCTGCCTGTTCTACCTGTTTAAAACAACAACTTCAAACCATTTCACAATCACAAACTAACGCTCACAAAAAGCCTGAGGAGGTGAGTGTTCCCGGGCCGGGCCGTGCTGCAGAGGGGGAAATGGCAGCTCAAAGAACAGGTGGGATTTGCCCAGTCACAGCAGATGCCAGCAGAGCCAACTGCCCCTGGCCACTTGCCCTTCATGCAAGCCACACACAGCAGCTCCTTGCTCCCCAGATCGCCCAAGGGAATATCCCAGCTCCTCACACCCACGCTCATGCAGCAAGCACATTAGTCAGCAGCAGGATCAGCCCTGCAGGTCTGGGAGCCTGAGGCAGCCCCAAGCAGGAGAGAAGCAAAGGCTCGCAATCAGCAGCTCCCAGAGCTTCGAAGAGGTTCAGAGTGATCTTCGGGGGTGCTGCTGACGAGGCCCTAAACTGCTGCCTCCTCGTGTGTCTTCTGCTGCCCTGGGCCTGTCTCCACGGGCTGGGCTCACAGGGCAGTCCCTGGCGAAGACTCAAGGCACACGCGCGGCATCTTCTGGGGCTAAGATGAGGAAAACTGCGTTTCAATGGCCGGGGAATGAAGCACAGTGGAAACACTTACCTGTTCCTGCCAGGAATCTGATTAAGAACACACCAACAGTGATCTGGGTTAGCACAAGAACAGGCAGAGAGAAAAGGCACAGGGGTACATTTTAGTAAAGGGAGAAGCCAGGAAGCAGAATTTGAAAGAAAAGAGAGTCAGCAAAGATCTGTGAGATTGAAGAGTGTCTGTCTCTGATTCAGAAGGTCCCAGGAGACACAGGATCTCTTCTGTGGGTTCAGGCACATTCCCACTGCCACTGCCACAGGGCCAGACTCTGCTCACGGTCACAGGAATTCAGTGTCGCCTGTTGGGGATGTGTCTCTCTTTGCTTAGCTGAACTCAGAGTTTGCTTGTAAGTGTAAGATCATGAAAAAAAGGGTGGTGATTTTAAACCCCCGTGTCTATTGATTCAAGTGCAGAGGCTGCAGAGATTGAAACAGGCGGCTACAACTCCAGAACTCTATCCGCTGTTTTTGTCACGTACTGACCTTACCCTAAACCAGCGCTGGATAATTCCCAGCAGCTCCCAGATCTCTGCACCCAGTGACACAGCAAAGTCAGGCAGGGCCTTGACTCTGGGTTCCAAGGGTTGGACAAAGTTTGTCTTCAATAGTGCCAAGAACTCCATGAAAAGAGAAGCCTCAAGCCTTAGAGACGAGACTTTTGAGTCCTGCTGTAAGAAGTCACCAAGGAATACTTCTGAGAGAAGGAGATCTAAAGTATGAGGGGAGAAAGCAAATCAGGCTGGGATTAGGTGAATGTTAGAGGGATAAATAGTTCATTCTCAAGTAGCATCTCCCTGACTGGCAGAGTCCTCCCAGCCTCTGTAATTCTGGATGTTGTGCAATTTGCCTGGCACTTCTTTCTATCAGGCACATCCAGTTACACTGTGTCCTGAAAGCTGTGTCTGAAAAGCTGGATCTGCTTCATGTGCTGAGAGAAACAGCAGCCTGGTACAGGCACCAGAGTTGGTGCAAAGGAAGGGAGGGAGG